ACATTTGTAACGACAAAAAAATGTCGTTTTTGCGTATTAGCTATCAGATTAAATAAATATTTGTCTCAAGCAATGTTGTTTGTGACTATATGTTAATTAGATGCTAATTAAACATTAAATAACTCTAGTGTTTGATGTAAAAACAAATATTCCATAATTTTCCTATGTTGCTCAGTACTCTTTTGCCTCCAATGGATATTACTGGTTGCCTAATCATGTTCACAACATTACTTACACAGTTTCCAAACAGCAGCGCGCAGTCCAAGTATATTAGGTCAATGTGTACCCCATCTTAACCTAAAACAGATTTATTTGAAATATGAATACACATTAATTCATTTCTAGTTACCTTAATCGGTTTTCAATCGTTGTAGTTTTGATAAAAACTGGTTTAATTCAATTTAATTTATAACAAAGAAGACTGGAACAACAACACAAGTAAACAAGACGTGCGCGGGAAAGTATTATGACATATGATATGACCAGTATGACATTCTCGTCACCTTAGAACTGGTTTGCCGCATATCCAGATCGCGTCCGAGGGATTTTCGCCTCTACTGCTTGGTGCAGATTTGCCGCATGTCGCACTTGGGCGAAGCGAAACATAGTTTAGATTCAGTGCTGATTTGCCGCATGTCCAAGCAGAAATCGATACAGTACCGTTATCCGTTTTTACGTACTTCCTTGCTGTTTTGCTTTTCAGCGTTAGGTTTGGGGTTGGGAAAGAAATCGTATTCAACTTCACGCGCAGAACAATAAGAATAATGTGAAATAAATAAAAAAGAGACTTAACAATTTTGATGAATCTGAAATTAAAAAAAAGCAACTGTAATTTGTGCAACTCTTTTTCTGTTGTTATAGATGTTACAAATATTTTCAAATTATTAGATTCGAAATTTTACAAATTTAAATTTCAAATAGATTTGTTGTTCGATAAACAAATAATTTAATTTTTTACTAAACAGTAACATTTTATTAACGATATTTCTACATCAATAACACTGGTCAACAGCTAAGCTCTAACTTTTATTATAGCAGCCAATTATTATTTAATTAACAATTTTAAATGATATTATAAACGGCTAAACCAAAACTTAGCTCTCATTTAAAAGTAATCTTAAAATATTATCCTTTGAAAAATACAAAAATCGTACTATTAAGTAATAGGAAACTTTCTATAAGGTGTATTTTTTTGTGATCAAATTGCTACAAACTTCTTGGGAAACAATAAGAAAACTACGTTTAGTAAGTAGAAAACATGTTATCATCATACAAAAAATTTAAAATTAACATATTCTTAAAAGTGCATTTTATGTATTCGTATTTTAATTTTTTCCCCAAAAATTATGGCGACGTGAGTGACGGACATAGAGAACGCTTCCATCTGGGCATTTTGTGGATACAAAAACGTTACCAAGATCGATGGTACACCTAAATGCTCCCAGAATCCTGCGGGACCATCAAGCGAGAGATCTCCAACGAAATCTATAAGAGGCAACCGAAAAAACGTCGGTCTTAGCTGTTTCTTTTGTTTTTTTCGTTTTTTAAGCTACAATCGTTGTTTTTTTCTTAATTATGGTTGTTCTTTTGTTAATACATCACTTTTTGCCGTTAAAGATACAAAAATTAAATTGTTTTACCTGATTTTTTGTTTTTAACATCAAATATGCATTTTTCTTTTTAATTGAGCTAAGTTGTAAGGTTTATGCCCTTTGTTACAAACACAGGGACAAATTAAACGAAAACATTACAATTATGTCAAAGTTAGAGAGAAAAAATTGAATTTTGTTGACCAGTGTAATCACAAATAATAGATACATTTTTAATTTTTTAAATTAAAATGTTGTAAAAGTAATATGAAAATTAAAATTTCGAAGCAAAATCTGTTTAGGTGGATTTTGCTTCGAAATTTATTACTGGAACGTTTACAAAAATCAGCTTTTGACATAAAATGCTTGCAAATTTGAAACAGAATTGGAATGTTTCTTGACAATCATGCCTAATACATTTTTGACTTGTATCTTTTAAAAAGAATTATTTCCGAATTTATAGCTATTTACAATTTACGACTTACTTCAAGAACAAATTCCGTATTAGAATTTTACCTATAATAACTAAATAGATGTATGTTGTTAACTTATATAAGGTACCTTACATCGAAACGAGTAATTTGTTTTTTAATATGACATTGCCTTTCTTTATCATTCTATTTGTCTAACAATTATTGTTGTGCAATTATACGCGTGTAAATAAAAATAACTTTACAATAACTTATTTATGGGTAAATTTTTTTACCAATTAATTTAACTGGATGGTTATATGTAATGGTAATAATAGCCGCATAAAATTCACTCACTGTTTAGGTATACCAGATATCAAAAGCTATTAAATCCAAATGTTATTGTTTATTTTTTTTTATGTCTCGAGCGTAAGCTAAGGAACTATTGTAATCAAGTTCATCGGGCGACTGGCTACTTTTATGGCTTCTCAACGTTTCATGACTCCTATAATACGAAAACATAGGTCTCTCGTTTCCAGTTGATAAAACGCTGACCAACATTTGTAATCATCCTCCCCATCATATAACGTCATCTCCAACTTTTACAGCAATAAATGTTATATGATTTTTAAAAATAACATACTTTTTCATTTGTTGTTTATTGAATTTTTACCCTAAGCACCCAGATTGAATTAAATTACCATAACCCTAATTTCTTGAGATTTTGGAACCAGGATATACGACATAAAGAAAGTTAAAAGAATTTGAAGTAATGTAATGATACTCTTTTTACATCAACATACTATTATTTATCAATTAATTGAGCATCGTCCAAAATACTGTTCATAAATTATAAGTGCAGGAAGTTTATGCAAAAACATGCAAATACATTTTTTGTATGTTTTATGTATTGCTTTATTATTAAGTATCTACTCATTTATAAGAATTATTAAAATTAGTAAAAAAAAGTATTCACGTCTCTGTCTAGTTTAATACCTTACCTTATTAAAATAATAAGTTTAATCAATTATGTAGTTAGCAAACAATGACGTTTAATTTATACTTAGTAGGGTTCACGGCATGTTTAATTCGGAGTTATAATTTGTGAATATAATTTACCCGTTTATTTATTTTTGTAGTTTAGTAGTACTTCAGCAAATTTAGAAAACTGTATGTTATTTAAAAATACGTGACAAATCACGAGGCCAAGCAATCTAGAGATCTGACTGCTGGTTTGCGCGGGAAATACTGCATATTTTTTAGATAAAAGGAGTCTATGATAAGCGCACGTAGGAGATGATAGACAGAGAGCTAATATTTAGAGCCAATGTATTGGAAAGAAATAGGACAAGTTTACGTGCGCACACCACAGCCTCCCTTTCTTCTCTAAACAGTTTGGGATCATACCATAGTATCATAAATAATAATTGACAAAGAGTTCGCAAAGAAATCCAACGGAAATATTTATACAATTGTTTACAACTACCAGTACAAATAATTCTTTCATTTTCAACTGAAAAGCGTATAACTATATTAAGTACTAGATATTATGGAGTTAGGGGTAATCAAATAGATTTGGGTTGCAGTCAACATAATTGTCACTGATACATAAGACATGGTAACGAATGATTTATTTCCAAATCCAAATATACTGCATTTACAGTTTTAAACAGTATCACTGCTAATTTTCTCTGGTTGCCCGACAATAGCTACTTGTAGTCAATATCCACGTAATCTAATAAAATACTGGAATCCAATTGTTTGAGACAACAACCTATTTTTACCCGAGTGTTCTTTATCAGTTTGAATATTTTATATAAAAAAATTACATATTAAGCTGCAATTTTAGTAGGACTGCAGCGAGTCAATGCAAAGAAAATATCATTTTATTATCCTTTGTAAAAATAATTCCTTTCTGTAAAACACATTTAAATTTGGTACTCCGTATTTCGTTCACAATTCACCATTTAACAATGGAAATTAACAATGCAATATTTGGATTCTACAGTTTTTAGGAAAAATGAATGACTGCAATGAGTTTTATCAAATGTAGATTTTATATAAAAATAAAGAAAAATAAGTCTCTTTATTTTAAAAATATTTAGAAAAAATCGAATCAAAACATCAATAACTTAACATTCATTGTTCGTTATACTTAGTTAACTACTTCACCACGAGATTTCTAATATCGTTTCAATTTTTCATTTATTTCACATTATGAGTCCTTGCCGTATTTCTTGTTCTGCGCGTGAAGTTGATTAAGAAATCTTAATCTTAATTATCTCTGAAAAATGTATCTATTATTATCTGTAATTATTGATGTGGAAATATCATTTCCACAAATACGAATATAAGTATGCAGCATTATGAATTTTGTTGACTAAAATTTTAGAGAAAATAAGTTCAATCATTTCCGAGAAATCATTAAATAAAAATGTTACTGTTAAGTAAAAAAATAAATTATTTGTTTAACGAGCAACAAATCTATTTGAAATTTAAATTTGTAAAATTTCGAATCTAATAATTTGAAACTCAATCTTTCTTAAAAAAAAAATCGAAAATATTTGTAACATCTATAACAACAGAAAAAGAGTTGCACAAATTACAGTTGTTTTTTTTAAATTTCAGATTCATCAAAATTGTGAAGTCTCTTTTTTATTGATTTCACATTATTCTTATTGTTCTGCGCGTGAAGTTGAATACGATTTCTTTCCCAACCCCAAACCTAACGCTGAAAAGCAAAACAGCAAGGAAGTACGTAAAAACGGATAACGGTACTGTATCGATTTCTGCTTGGACATGCGGCAAATCAGCACTGAATCTAAACTATGTTTCGCTTCGCCCAAGTGCGACATGCGGCAAATCTGCACCAAGCAGTAGAGGCGAAAATCCCTCGGACGCGATTTGGATATGCGGCAAACCAGTTCTAAGGTGACGTTCTTCTGACAGCAAAGCAAAACAAAAATTCCCCATAACTTTAGTGGACTATAATTAATAATTTTTTGAAAGTAAGAAGCGGCACATCAAAACAATTGCGTCAGCGCCTACTTCGACTACAATCATTTATGATAATCCTGTATGTAGCTTCTAACATTTGTGTGCCGGCGTATCGCGCCCATCCACGTCGTACGAGCTCTGCATTTAAACGTTTGTTTGGTGAGTTTAATACAGTAATATTTAAGTGAATTTCGGATGATGAATGCAGAAATGTATACTTAAAAATTTCATCTTAATGCCAACTAAATTATTGCAAGTTTAATGGAGAAATATACTTTAAACGTTGAATTACATCAGCTGCTGCGGGTTTATTTTTTCGCAGTCGTGAGTTATCATTAGCAAACTTCAATAATAAAATTATCGTATGCTCTGGGAGAGGGGACCTCCAGTGCAGCGCTTAGTGCTCCCAGACGTTTTATTCTTTTTTTTTTTTCTGTGTAATAGTTTATTATTTTTTACTAAAGGCAATCTCTCAGATACTTATTACGTTTCGAATAAAGTAAAACATTGTTCAATTTTACTGAAATTGGTGAAGATGCTCAACTTTGCTCGTTCATGGAAATTAGATTTAAAGAACATTCTTAAAGAGATTGTAGAAAGTATAATGTGATAATCCAATAACCCGCCAAAATTTGGCATGTGAACAAAATTTGAAAACTTGTGAAAAAATTCAAAATTTTGCTTTGAACTGTGATCAGGAACAACATGGAAGCCTACGTTGTGTGTTTTAATGCCGGAATGCGTTTAAATGCAAAGTGGTGGACTCCAAGGTTGAAAAAGCGCCCCTAAATCGAACACAAAATATGGAGGACAAAAATTGTTTATTGCTCCATTCTGACGAGAAAAAGCGGTGACTAAGTGCACTTTAGGCACTTAGGCAGGCTAAAAACCTCTTGCTTTTCATTTACAAAATCTCCTAGTTTACAAATAATCAAATCAAATCAAATGTTACGCATTAATGCAAAGAAGAAGTGTAGAAGTCGTCAGAAAAAAATCGCAAAATTAAATTTTATAGCCCACATTTTTATTATAACATTTGAAGCAAAAACAGTTACGGAATAAGGTTGTAGTATTAAATCAAATTTTCAGTGCTAGCACCCATCATGCGCTCAGATTCGGACTCCGATAGCCAGGAAGAAGATGAAAAACTGAAAGAAGAAATCAGGCAGATAGAGGAAAGGAAAATAAGAAGAAAATTATTAAAAAAACAAAGCTTAGCGACATCGAACACGCTATCGCCCGAAACAAGTTGTTCGTCTTCAAAAAAGGTAACTTTACATGACTTTATTATAATTCGGGTGGACATTTTTTTCTTTTATATTTTCTTCTATAGCTAAATAATATAGACGTTGACGAAGACAGGAATAAAGGGAATCCTGGCTCATCAGTACAAGTTACCAGTAACAATAACCTATGTTTAGAAGATGATAATAAGGTAAAACACATCATACTGTACATCTTTCAATATATATTTTCATAGTTCTTGATGGGTTTTCTCTTTTTAATAGAAGCCGGTATTTTTGAACCGTATTTTGCAAACTACGAGAAGTGAAATTCATCATTTGAAACTGTAAATATTCATTTTTACACACTTGTTGAAAAATAAGGTTTATTCGACGAATACCAAAGTTTTCTTGAGGAAATTTTATTTAATGCAGCCAGCACAATTTGAAATTTCTATTAGAAATGATATATTTTTAATTTATTGTTCGAAAGTGTTTTGACTAAAGCCACATTCTAAAATTTTTCAGGGTCAACAGGATCGATTTCGCACATACAAAAAACTTCCTGGAGCTGTAGATCATGGCAAGGAGTATGAACAAATGATGTGTGCATTCTACGCTTTAAAACTGATTGCGCGTGATGATGTGGAAGATTTTGAAATGACTACTAACAACAAAGAATATGGAGTTTTTGATGATATTGGACTTACAGTTACGTTCAAGAACACGAAAAGACAGATTTATCTCATTCAACTCAAACACAAAGAAGGAGGAAAGTTCATCACAAGTAACAATTTACGTAATCAAAAGAATGACTTCGGCCTTCAAAAATATTTTAATTCTGTATCGTCTCTTAATATCACGGAAGACGTTGTTTACATTGTCTCTACAAATTCTTCTACGTATATTAAGCAAAATACGGAGATATCGCCAGATATTGTTCTTGAAGTGCGTGATTGTATTGAATATGAAGACCTACTACTCAACGTCCAAGAAAGAAAATCAAGTACTATTTTTCAAATTGTACAAAAATTAGAGGACAAAAATCAAATGTTTTATTTTTTTACGGAACAAAATAACATACATAACACTAAAGTTAGCGTGCAAAAAATGTTATACGAGTTGATGCAGTGTAACATTTACGACTCTTTCATGCATTTCATGAGCGAATGGTGGTCAAAAAGCTTTGTTTTAGCAAAAGACGATGTCATCGCCAAATTAGCAGAATTAGTTGTCTCACCTTACCTTAAAACTTTAACAGACGATAAAAAAAATGCCAAAACCGAAAATCTCAGAAAAGCAATAACGAATTTTTCGTTAACGATTGTGGAAAAAACCGACGAAAATATAATCGAAAATATATGGCCGACTGAGAGTATTACGGATGATGAATTTAACAAAACCAAAGAGAAATTTGAACTAAAGATAACAGAACAAATGAAAATTTTATGGTTTTTAAATAAAGTTCCGCTGGTTATAAAAGTGGACGATTTAAATATAGCAGCAATTAAATGTGCAGTAAAGCTAATAGACAAAAGTGCAGACAAGAAAAAAATCATTTTGGAGGGAAATGTAACAAAGTGTGAATTTGATGGAATGCAAGTGTTCCAAGATTTATCTGATTTGATACAAAAGTGTGAAAGAGAGGAGTGTTGCCGTAGTGTTCTGGAGAGTTTTGAGGTGTCATTGCAGGGAAGAGAGCCAATTTGTTTAGAAGAATTATAATAACATTGACAGCGAAATTTCGCAATATATCGGACTCGGCGAACTACTGAAAATGTCTCAAACAAATTTCATCATCGGAAACGAACGAGAAGATTTGCCTGAATTACACATACCAAGAAATGTCTCCACCATTTTCGTAAACACAAACAACATTTTGAGTTTTTGCGAATCACAAAGATTCCAGACGGTGGTAATAATGAATTGTGACCCAGCATTTAAACATAAATTCCAAAAACTTAAAAATTTCAGTTGTGTCGAAATTTCCGACTACTTTTACCAACAACTGGGTGAAAAGGAAAATATCATTTTGTTGTCAACAAAAAGTAAGTGTACACATGCTGAATTTACTCGAGTTTGTAAAAGGTCTAAAAAATCGAACGTGTATCTATTTCAAACGTTTAATGACGAATCTTGTGTTTTACTTGCCAAAAAAGGAAATGATTTACCAGCGAATCTTTTAGATAAATCCCGACGTATAGAGGAAAAAAATGCCTTAAAAAATGTCTTAAAATATCTCGACAACCCACTTAACGCAATTTGTGCTCCATCCGGAATGGGTAAATCAACAGTGATGAAAGTTCTTTACAATAATTGTCCTTCGCACTATTGGGGAGTTTATGTTGATTTGATAAATTATAATGCGTTTTTGGCGACAAAACCAGACTCGAAGGCAATGTGGAATTGCTTTTTAAGAAACGAAGGAACAAAAGACACAAATGTGAAAAAACAATTTAAGAGCATTTTTCGTAAAAATAAAAAGATACATTTATATCTTGATGGACTGGATGAAGTGGACAGTGGTTACGTTAATTCTGTTTTAGATTTTGTCAAGGAAGCATCCTCAGATGGTATCAATGTTTGGATTTCATCAAGAGAAAACCTACGCCAAATGATATCGCAAACTTTAAATGTGGTTCCAATAGAAATACAAGAATTAAGTAAAGAACAACAAGAAAATTATATATACAACAAACTAAAAGAAAAATACCGAAAAGAAGAAATAACGATAATCTTAGAAGCAATATATAGTAGTGTATAATAATAGTCAACAGTTGCTAGGAATTCCGTTACAGTTGCACATAATCACAGAAATGTTTCTCAACAACGACGACGCTTATAGAAAAACTAGCGGAACCCGGCAGACGTTGTCCTGCTTGTGTATATATTTACTTTGTATATATGTGGATATAAATGTATGGTCTGGAGCGCATAATTGTGTCGTATGCAAGTCGTTGATCGTTTGTTAAGAATCTTTTCTGAGTTTCAACATAAACTTGTAGCGCATCGACGTCGTATTGTTTTTCTCGCAATACGTCTCTATCGATAACATCGTTTCTGTCACGTTCCGATGAAAACAGCCCAAGCTGATTGAGGATTTTGTTGTTAATCGACATACACACATCTTCAAGTGATATCAGTGCTTCATTGAAAATGTCTTCCGAATACTGTACATCCAAGCCGAGATTATTTCTGCGTGCTCGGAGAAGTATGTCTTCGCTCATACTCTCTTTGTGTTTTTCCCATAAACCTTTCGGATCAGAAGGTGCGCAGGTTGTCAAAATTATGGCAAACAGAGTTCGTATTTGATGGGCATGACGTGTCTCAGATGCTTCTGCTAATGTGTTGTCCCAATGTTGATCATTTTCAAGCAAACCAAGTTTAAAACATGCTTCTCTGTATGTCTCACACTCTTGACCATCGATTGTTTTGATTGCTTGAAACGATGTTGGTTCTTTGACCACGTGAAGCAGCATTCGCAAATAGTAGCATTCACCATTATTTGGATGAACAGTATATACTCTTCCCAGTGCACCAGTAGAAAATATGCCAGCTATAGAAGAATGCCTGGCGCCTCGTTTTCTTCTGCAAAATTTCTTCGTCGATTGATTCCAAGTGTAGAACTGCGGGACCTCGTGATACATTAATGTTTTTGCGAATTCGTCAGTTGCACACAATTGGAAAAAAGCGGTCAACGTTGTATTTGGTGGATCTGCAACTCGTTGGGGTGCGTTGTGGTGAACACTGAGATGCATGACAGCAGGAAAGCGTTCATGAATGTCGAAGCCAAGAATTCTCCATACAGCTTCATTACTGCTAATATAACGTCCCATTTGAAATTGCTCGATTTCATTGGGATTCGCAATTCCGAAAATTGCCATATCGCTGCCTTTATTCACGTATTTACATATGTATTTTATTGACTTAACTGAATTACAGGACTCCACGTTGATATGTGCATTGAATGATTTCGAAAGGATAGGAGAGTAGGGCACAATCCATCGGTTATCAACTTCGAAATCAACGTTATTGATTTTGATAGTTGTGGTGTATCCTCCATCATCTGGTTTTCGTCGTCTGTACAACGGATAACCGTCGCCACCAGTTTGTGTTTCTTGCAGCAGCTGGCGTGGATACTTTTTGGTGCATTTTCCGTCTTTCATGCATGGCGAGTGTGGGTTGTGTCCCCCACATGGTCCGTGAATCATATTTTTTTTCACAATTTCAAATAATTCTGGATCTTCTTCTGCGTTGGGCAGCTCAGCAGTAATGATATCATCAATTTGAGTTGGAACAATTTTTTCAACCAACCAAATTAAGATATGAGCATGTGGTAGACCACTTTTCTGCCATTCGATGGAATACATCCAACAGCGAGTTTCTCCATATATATGGTTCTTAGTGATGAGATCCATAAAACGTATCAATTTTTGTTTGAAAACTCTCGCTGTGAGGTCATGCTGATCAGATGGTTGTTGGCCAGGCAAAAGTAAATATTTGATTTCACACCAAGATGGATTGCATGTGAACGTGATGAAAAGATCTGGACGTCCATATCTGCGAACATATGTCAGAGAATCCTGAGCATATTCTTGCATATGTCTTGGACTTCCAGTATACGAAGCTGGAAGTATAACCGTTTGTCCAATGTTACCAATTGTTCCATCATTCGCGATTGCATCTCGCAAATGAATATAATCTTCGACTCGAAGCTTCTATTGATTGTAACGAATGTAATTGAGTCGTTCGCTTTCGACTTTGGCGTACATATCAACGATGAATTGTTGAAAAACGTGACGACACTTTAAGATATGGTTGGATTGTTTGACTCGAATCATGATACGATATGCATAAAAATCCATACAACTGACTTTTTTCGTTGTCGCAGCACCTGTGACGGGATAAGTTTGATACAATTCGAGATGATAACCGTCTTCTCTTCGCGGAAATAGAATTGGATATTAAAGTGCGTCGTACGATCGATGTGTTTCAGCAATACGTTGCTTGGTTTGATTTCGCCTGCTGATAACAATATGTCGCCGAGTAATTTCTGTACCGACAATTACAGCTGCTACTTCAGGGGCTATTGGAGCATTGAAGCGTCTTTCATGCTCATTCGATGGGGTTTTGTCTGCTCTGATAATGAGTTTGAAGTCATCGCTCTTACATTCTCCAATGCGGATTTGAAATCTCGGACCAAACAGTTGTGCTCGTGGAATAATGCTCGTAATTCAGCAATAATCTTTCGATGTTGCTACACTAAATGCGCATCATCGATCAACAATCTCCTTCTCCACATTGTCCATGAGATAAATTTGCAAATATTGTGGATCTTTTTTTGGATATTGGAAGGAGTGAACCAATCTGATCCTTGCACTTTAAATGTGGGCATAAAATTATTATATCTCACAATATTCGTCGCTCCAAACGATGTCATCTGAAAGCATGAGTTGTATTTCCGAATATGCTGTAGAAAGTGTTTGGACTCCCGAGTAACTCCAGCAACGTAAGTGAGCAGTGGTTCTGGTGGTTCAGTCAGTGGTGGCAAACTGATTTTGCCATTGGAGCAACACATGCCAGGCGCTTCGTTGTGTTTTCGGACTCTTTTGAGGTCTGATAGCAATATAGTAGTATTAGATATATGGGTGCCGCTAAGTTCATAATACTTTAACAGAGAGGTTGATGTGCTGCAGTGCCATCTAGTGGCAAGTTACAGCAAAATCGATAGCGCGAAAATATTCTCCATGGTCAAATACCAACGTATATCAATTTTCATGAGGATCGGTTGATTGGTACAGAAGTTGATGTGTTGCAGCGCCATCTAGTGGCGAGTTACAGCAAAATGGATAGGGCGAAAATATTCTCCATAGTCAAATGCCAACGTGTACCAATTTTTATGAGAATCGGTTGAACGGTGTAGAAGTTGATGTGCTGTAGCGCCATCTAGTGGCTAGTTACAGCAAAGCGGATACCACAAAAACCTTCTCCATGAAAAACCACTTACATGTGCCAAATTTCATGGTGATCGGTCAAACGATTTCGGAGTCTATCGATCACAGATATATATACCAACATCCATTTTTATATATATAGATTGAAGAAAAAGATATCTTTGTGTTAACACAAATGTATAAGCTATTTTTCGATGGGAAAATGACATCTGCTCTTAATAAAATTGTCGCTGAAAAGCAGATACATCAAATTGGACACATCAGAGCGTTGCTAAAACAATATGAAACTGTAGCTTTGAAAGGGTGTTTAAACAGTACAGACTTTGGGAAACTGAATCTAAATTCAAAGGAATCCGAAGAGTTCTAAAAGGATATAAAAGAAAATGGCGACAAATACGGAATAATCAAGAAAATAAGTGAGGACGATGACGTAGTATTCGACCATCAGACTTACGCTGAATATTTTGCATGCGTCTGGTTGAAAAATAACACAGAAAAAATAGTTGTGTTAAAGAAAGATTTTTTTTCTCCTAGATATAATAATTTGCGGTTGATGTTTGACGTAATGTTAGCGGAAAATAATCCGTTGCATCTCTCTGTTTTATACAAAAATACACATCAGTTTGAAAAATATATAGACCAGATGAACATAAAAGATGCAGGCGATCGAATGCCCTTACATCTTACATGTACATACCGCATGAAGTATCGTCTTTCTCATCCGTATCAAAAGTATTTCTTAGTTAAAGAGGACCTTGTAACACCTAATCGAGAACTAGACTGTTATGTATTTATGGCAAAAACTCTTGCCCAAAAACAGTTCGATGCGAAAAACAAAGACGATCTGTTCAGTTTTGATTACTTGGATTATTGCCTTGAAGCAAATTGTCTGTATCCTATCGAATTATTTTTAGAACTAAAACTGTTGGACTTTGTTGGTATAAAAGAAACCATTTTTGGGTACTATGACGCAGCCACTTTGACCTATTATTCAGTACAAATGGGTTATCGAAATCTATTTTGTGCGGTCATTTTAGAAAAACCCCAGCTCGTGCACAGGATGATACGAGACAAAAATTTACTTCAATCAACAATTAGTGGTTTCAAGAAGGAAACGAAAAACGCATCTAAGTCACTAGAGAACTACAAATGTATAGTAAGTTTTTTGAGCTGCAGCGGTTTTGATATCAACGCCCGTGATCAACACTATAAGATACCTTTAGCACGTGCTTGTGAAACTGGTGATTATGAAATAACAAAAATATTGTTAGAGTGCGGCGCTTCCGTGAACGTTCTGGACATAGATAACATGAACATGTTACATTACGTATCGAAATTGCGGAAACGTAATCCAGATATATTAAAATTATTTGTTCAGATAGGTATCGAAGTAAATGCTCAAGACAAAAACGGGGTGACCCCTTTACAACTTGCCTGTGGACATGGTATTTATGAAAATGCAAAAATGTTGTTAGAGTGCAGCGCTTCCATAAACATTGTGGATAAAGACAACAACAACTCGTTGCATTATGCATCACAGTCAAGGCAAGACAATCCAGATATAACGAAACTATTGATTGTGAAAAGCATCGACGTGAATTTGCAAAATAATAATGGAATGACAGCTTTACAAGTTTCTTGCCAGTCAGGTAATTATGAAAATTCATTAATGTTACTAGAATGCGACGCTTTGATGAATATTAGAGATAATGAAGACAACAATGCTTTACATCATGCGTCAAAATTATGGGAAGATAATCGAGATCTTTTAAAATTGTTGATCAAAAAAAGCATCCACATAGATGCTCAAAACAAATATGGGGAAACGGTTCTACAATTTGCATGTTTGAAAGGCGATCAAGAAATTGTAGAAATGGCGTTAGAACACAACGCTTCCGTGAATATTTCGAACGAAGGTCTTAGCAACGCGTTGCATTATGCATCAAGATCTTGGTGGAACAATCGCGATGTAATAAAATTACTAATCAAGAAAGGCATTGATGTAAACGCTCAAAATGAAAACGGAACGACGGCTTTACAACTTGCTTGCGGAAACGGTGATCTTGAAATTACTAAAATGCTGTTTGAATTTGGCGCTTGCATAAACATTGTCGACAAACAAAACCACACTGCATTGAATTATGCCTCAAATCTGTCAACCGACAATCGGAATATAATAAAATTACTGATCAAGAAAGGCATCAACGTCAATGCTGAAAGCAAAAATGGGATTACAGCTTTACAGATTACATGTTTAAATGGAGTGTATGAAAAGATAAAAATGTTTGTAGGAGATGAAAAATTTTAAACAAAAAAACACATTTTTTTTTTGATGTGTGTGAGGGCGTTACATTATTTCTTTACCAGTTATCCACATTATCAAACGTCAGGTTTTAATATAACATAAATTATAAACTCACTTTTAAGTCGTCAGTGTTGATAGCTGATTAATTACATTTATAGCCTGGTCAGGAGGGCTGGTGTCGAGGTGAATCGGTCATAACAACAATTATGCAACCTGTAAAATGTGATTGGGGATGTGAGCCATCGATCCCTAAAGTCGATGTGGCGAATTTGCTAATCGGGTATTACTCTTTAAATAGTGAGTCCGTGTTATTTTGACTTATTATCAGTCAGCAAGGTTGGTACTACTTTGTCAAGAATATGACTGCTTTAATTAACAATTATTTCATCAATCAATGAGCTCTGTCCTAATGGTTGGAATCACACATGGTCCATACTGCCCGGTACAGAGTGTACAATGAGCACTAAGGGAAAACCGCACGAAGTGCTCACTCTCATACCGTCGTAGGGTATAGTACGGAGTCTACAAGGGGCGAAGGGGAAGGCCGCGCGACGCACCCAGCTCCTGCTACTATCCCAGGTCTAGTACCAAAGGGTGCAGTGACACCAAGGGAATAACCGCACGAGGTGTCCACTTTGATACTAGTCCTTTGACCACAGACATCAGGATTGATGTCCGCACCGTACCCGCAACAAGAGGTACATACCCGCAACAACAGGTATTTCTTCGCCCGCAACAACAGGTATTTCTTCGCCCGCAACAACAGGCATAAACCCGCAACAACAGGTCTCTTCGCCCGCAACAACAGGCCTAAAGGTATCACAGGAAGGCGGACAGCCTAATCAAATTAGCTCGACATGTCAAGGCTCATTTCATCACTTTTACTATTTCAATATCTCTCAGGATTATGTTAACATTATTTGACAACTGACTCGGTACCACTTATCAATAATCATGTCAACTGCAACAATAACAACAAGGAACAGACTCACCAAATCACAGTAGATAATCCAATTAGCTTTTACAACAATTAACAGTGCAGATTACACCTTAGTGAAATCTCACTCACATCACCCCTAAGACCGATAACTCAGTGATACACTCACCTCAACACTTTTTAATCAACCGTAACACGTAACTGTTAAATTCGTCTTAATCGGTACGCGTCCGTTTTAAAACTGAAATCTTTATCCAGGCCTTTTTAGTTACACCCTCTCGAAAGAAACACAGCCAACCAATCAACCCCAATCAGGTCTATTTCTTGGGTCACACATGTGGTTTCTGTTTTTGCCTGTGACTGCGATAATCTCAGATTTGTTTCGCTCAAGTGTTAAGTCGCCGGACCACCCGCACCCCTGCATCGCAGGCCATTAGTAGGCGTGTGAAAGGACATAGGCCATTCCCCAGTTTCTGGGAAATATATATTTTTACGAGCTCCAAATTAGCATGAAACTCTTAACTGCATGCTTTTACACCCCTAATATAAAAAAATATGAAGAAAAGCACATGTTAAGTACAAACCTATCTTACATGTTGTTAGATTTCTGCGCTTCTGTAAACATTGTGGACAAAAGCCACAATATCAACTCACTACATTGTGCAACAGCATCACAGCGAAACACTGGAGGTATAATACGACTGTTGGTTAAAAACGGCATCGACGTAAATACGAAAAACAAAAATGGAATTACAGCTTTACAACTTGCATGTGAACGAGGTGTTTATGCAAATGCCAAATTGTTGTTAGATTGCGGCGCCTCCATCAACATTTTGGACAGAGGCAACAATAACGCTTTGCATTTTGCATCGAGTTCAAAGTATGACACTACGGATATAGTAAATTTACTAATTACAAGAGGCATTGATGTAAATATCCAAAATAATAGTGGGGCTACAGCTTTACATCTTGTTTGCGAAAAAGGCTCCCACGAAAGTGCACACATATTGTTAAAGTACGGGTCTTCCATCAATGTTGTGGACAAAGACAACTGCAGTGCCTTACATTATGCATCAAGATCTTGGACAGATAATCGAAACATAATAAAGCTTTTAATTGAGAAAGGTATTGACGTAAATATCCAAGACGAAAGTGGGAATACAGCTCTACTGTTTGCATGCAAGAATTGTGATTACGAAATTACAGAAATGTTATTTAAAGTCGGCTCGTCAATAAACGATATGATATGATAACAAAGAAAACAACAACGCTTTGCACTATGCAGCAAAGGCAGAATGCGAGAAAGAGGATATATTTGAATTGTTGATCGAGAAAGGAATCAATGTAAATTTTCAGAATAAAAGTGGTACTACAGCTTTGCATCTAGCCTGTGAAAATGCTCTTTGTGATGTAGCCAAAACATTATTAGAATCTGGCGCTTCCGTAAACATTTTAGATACAGATAACAATAACGCTTTGCATTATTATGTCAGGACCCTGGATCGGAATTTAAGAAAGATATTTAATCAACAGTGGGAGGAAACTCTACAGATTGCACCCGAACAAGGTACTGCAGCCATAAGAACATTATTGGTTGAGAACGGCGTCGACGTAAATGCTAAAAATAAAAATGGAATGACACCTTTATTACTTACATGTACTAGTAAGTACATTCGTTGTGATATAGTACAAATTTTGTTAAATTGCGGCGCTCTCATTAATCTGATGGACGAAGAACACAACAGTGCTTTACACTATGCCTCAAACTCAGAAGAATATAATCAACTTATAATTAATTTACTGATCAAGAATGGTGTCGACGTGAACGCTCAAAATAAATACGGAACGACGGCGTTACAACTTGCTTGCAAAAACGGGGTTTATGGAAACATAGAAATATTATTAGAGTACGACGCTTCTATTAAGATCACGGATGAAAACAACCAAAGTGCACTACATTATGCATTAGAATCAGAGGCAGACAAAAAATGTGTAATAAAATTGTTGATTGAGAAAGGTATTGACATAAATACTAGAAGTGAAAATGGGACCACAGCATTACAACTTGCATGTAAAAAAGGTGTTTATGACTATGTAGATATGTAACTAGAGCTCGGCGCTTCCGTAAACACTTTGGACAAATGCAATAACAATGCGTTACATTATGGATTGTGGGCAAGAGGGGATAACAGAAGTATATTAAAACTACTGGTAGAAAAGGGTGTTGACATCCGCGTACAGAATAAAATTAAAGTGGCAGCATTTCAACTCGGATATACCATGACAGCTTTTTCCAGTGAAGTATAAGTAATAAATTATTTTGTAATACAGTGTAGTGCGAAAAGTGCGTGTGTAAACTCATTGAGCCTATAATTACTATTGATAATAATTTGTATTTTAGATAATTTCCATACAATGGTTTTGCAAAAGTTAATATACGTAATCTAACGTCTTGTTGTATTAATTTACTATTCCTAATTTGAATTTCACATGTCAACTTTTTACATTTTTATCCACAGCATTAACCCTTTGAGTAATGTCGTTTAAAAAAACTCCCTCAGCTTAAACGACCAAATTGACGCACTAGAGCAAAGACATGCTGTGGCGGTCGGAAATTCCGACCTTAAAATAGCCCTCTTATGACGTAAGGTGTCCCTCTCATAACAAGCGTACCCTTCTTTAGCGTAAGGGCCAAAATCCCGAATTCGGTGAGCGTATTCCATACCCAAAGATGGTCAATCAAATCACTTCAGTGGCAATACACATCGAGCCCATCTCTTTGCTTAAGATTTTCCTCCCCGAATATCATAATGAATGCGTCCCATCATCAAATATGGGCAGCGTACACTGTCCATCCCTCGTTCCAATCAAATCCCGTCAGTTGCAATTAATATACTACATTGCACAGATTTAGAGAAGACCTAGGATTCAAATGCGACACTTTTGCTCATGGTCGACCTCTCTGACCATTTGTCAACATTCTGGTATCTGGTGGCCTGACGCCGACGAAATTATGGGAAATGCAGTACCTATACTCTTCTCGCTCGTCGTTTCCGGTGTAAAATGAAGAGAAATGGATATAAATAGGAAACGAAATATACCTTATCAATGAGATCAGTTCAGTCAGTTCTGTAAGTCGCTTCAAACATCAGTGTGTTACGTCTAATTTAATAAAACCAGTTTGATCGCGATGCCTAGTCTAGCCCCGCCGGATCAGCTAGAGCACTCGATGGCCTTGCTACGTGTCTCCTCATCAGTCATCATCATCAACTCATCACTGGCCTGAATTATTTTGCTGATGTGCAATATTCTACCCCAGTAACGCAGCGTTATCGTTCGACCATGTGTAGAATTTTTCACTTATTGTTTCTTTTATGTATGCACACTCATTCCATACTCTTGGTTAGGAATAATTTACTTTAATGAGCTCATCTTGTTAGCTTTCTTCAAACTTCTTTTATTTCCCTAACAATAGACAATCTGTGAATGAAAATCGCATCACATTTACCTTTTTAATCCCTGAGGCAATCGGACGAGTTGCTACTTTCATGTTTTCTTGACGTTTCATGACCCCAAGAGCACGAAAAAGTGATCTCCCGTTTCTGTCTGTCTCTCATTTTTTATTACATAAAGAATGTCCGAAACTACTCACCTGATTGCTGTCAAATGTTGTATGCATTAATATGCATACAACGTATGTCATGTAGGTGATGAAACGCTAACCAAAATTTGGCTAATCATGCCCACAACCAATAAATAAGATACTTGTGATGTATGAATTGGTGTTGAGTTTTCATCGTAGACATCCAGAAAATAAAAATTGTATAACAAAATTTGCAATTTAACTTTGAAACCACAAAACCGAATGCTCTGAAAATTTGCAAACATTTTAAGGTTATCGTAATCATGGTAAATCGTTAATCAAAATTTATTTGTTTATCCCCACCCAAAAAACTGATGACGTCATCTCAAAATTTTGCCTAATAAAGCCTCTCTGAAATATGCAAAATATAATGAGTCTATAGTTGTTATTTATTATTGCTGTGGCGGCACAATAACAGGTTGGTAAGCGGGGAAAAATAAGTTCCTCCGTAGTCTAGTGGTAAGGGCACCCGCCCGGCAAGCGGTAAACGTGTGGTTCGATTTCCACCGGAGAAGCAACATTTTTCTTCGTTTACCTACATTGGTGACCATCGACAGAGCACGCACGCACGCAACATCCTTCTGCTACCGCCCTCTGCCCACTGTGTTTTGGGTTGGCAGCATCGCCAGGGTTCGAACAACGAATGTAAGGGTAGCAGGGTCGATGCCAGCATCTATTTCCTTCGCATCCCAGCACGACCGCCCGCTGTGTCAACCTTAGATCATATAATAAATAGATACCAATACTCAAACTGAAAGCTGTGACTAGACATGAAGCTATCTGTTGTCGTTTTCTACGTCAAGAGGAGTAGTATAATGCTATCCTTGTGTGATCACCACATCTTCATCTTTGTTATATGCATTTCATCTGTATATGTCTATTTCACTTCCATCCTTGTACCGCACCAGCGCAACAAATCGCTTTTGACAGATGTTTCTTCTAACCTCTATTTCGAGTTGTTGTACAAAAAACAATTTTAGAATTTAGAACAAAGATCCTATTTTAAGTGATGTAATCATAAAGCATCACAATTGCTGCCCAATAATTTACTATTCCTTTCATTATCTACTGTGAATTATTTATAAAATCAAGCTGTCAACATCTTTCCTACGAAGTTAGTTCAGACATACTTCCCAAACTTTAGGCGCGCAAAATTTAAATAGTGATCAGGCAAGGATAGCTTCATTGTAATCCCTTCATGTACGAGAGAGATGTGTGACAGGAGGATGTCACAGGCTCTGCTAGGGAAAGAACACGGCATGGTGGTATCTATTTATTATATGATCTAAGGTGTCAACTCTGTCGCGGTTTGAATAAATAATTTAATTTGAAGTTAGGTTCTTCTACACTATACTGAGAAGCTTAATTTGTTGGTAAAAGATCCAACATAGAGACTATACTTGTGATTTATCATTCCATTGATATTTTTTAGTTTTGCTTATAGAGGGTGCCTCAAAAAAATTAATTACTGAGTCAATTTATTTTATTGATTGAATCAAGAATTGCAAAACTGTATTTTGAAATATTGCAGACGTTTGGAAGTTACTGTTTGACATGGTACGTTTTTAATCAAAATATATCTGTTTATCAAGGCCAAAAACTTGATCACGTCATCTCAAGATTTTGCCGAATAAATCCTATCTAAAATGTACAAAATAATAAAATATCATCAGTATATTTTTGTAATTTATCACTGCATTCATATTTTTTAGATTTGGTTTTACAGTGACTCAAAAATATGTATGGATCAGTCAATTTATTTTAGTAAATGACTCAAGAGTTGCAGAAATGAATACTTTGAGATCTTGCAGACGTTTTAAAGTTATTGTAAGCATGGTAAATTGTTAAGAATATTTATTTATTCCCCCCCAAAAAATTGATGGAACGGCTCACTCGATTTCCACAGATAATTTTGGGAATACAATACAGTTATTTTTAGTATTACACTGCACCAATCCAAGGTGGTAAACGTGTTGATCGTAAATGTTGATTAGGTCATCACAAAATTGTGTGAAGAAAAGACTCAACTCGAAAATGCTGAATATGTTTCATTGTACTTTTGGTGCGAAGGAAGTTCTGTCGAAACAACGTTCGATAAATTTTTTGACAATCGTTGATATAAATAAAACTCAGTAGATACTCATACTCGAAATACGAAGTATCTACTCGAATATCAAATCAAAGTATTTCTAGTTTTTCTAGATGATGCTAATACTTCAATAGGTAACAGTTGATGCTCAAGTAGCATCTCGATACAACAAAAAAGGAAAACAGTGACAGTGTTCAACCATCAAGGCAAAAATCGAGTCACCAAAATATAAGTTAGTATGGGGTAGACACCTTGAGTTGGGAATCTCTATGGTCAGTGTTAGAAAGAACGCACTGCACAATTTATGCATAAATAAAAGCTAATTATCTTACGACTTCAGTTTTAATTTATCGGATTCCGTGATTCCTTCACTCGACAATGTTTAAATTTTGGGAAAATTTTCGAAACGATCGAAGTCGGTTGATCAAAGCTATACATTTGCATGATATATAAATTATAGTAGCCTGCATAGATATTGTAGCCGTCCATAGAGTCGAAATTTGCGAATAAAAATAAAATAAAACCGGTTCAAACGGAGCCGACGGTGGCTTGCAAATTCTGACGTCACTCTGGCACACGTTGCACAGGGACATATTTAATATTAAATGTCATCTTTTCCGTTATGGTATAATCTGTTTCATTTCTTAGCTCAATCTCGTCAATAAAAACGAAGCTCTGTTCACTGTACACAAGTTGTGGTATGGTATATTCATCGTTGCGAAGGTAGGTGGAGCGAAAAACCCGGTCATCTTAGCAGCAAACACGGCTATAAACTAGTCCACGAGGACTGCTTGTTTCCTGTCATATTTTACTTTGCTTGAGCCAATTACGTTGCACCAAACGGTTATTACACTTGTTGAAATACATTTTCAAACTTCCATCTTTCTCTAGATCGTCGGTTTCGTAGCTGTGTGACAAATCGTTTGTCGTAGATAGAAAATAGTAAGATTACAGTGACCCTAAGATTTTGTGCAATCGGCCTTAAATACACCCCTATGTAACGCGACGCGTGCCGTAGTGACAGAACTTGCAAGCCGTCGTCGGCTCCGTTTGAACCGGTTTTATTTTATTTTTTATCGCAAATTTCGACTCTATGGACGGCTACAATATCTATGCAGGGTACTATAATAAATTTTAAACATAATTAATATCACTTATAATGTTTAAATATGATAAGCATAAATATATATATATGCTAATTAAACCGAAACTCGTTGTCCTAAAAGCCCGAAATTATTAAAAACAAATCAATTTGTTTAAACATTGTTAAATTATCCCCGAAAATGTGCATTTTCCCGGCCAAAATATGAAAAATAATTTTTGCAATCTCATCGTGACGTACGATGACGTCACTGTCACCTGAGCTACCTGTCCGAAGGTCACGTTTCGCGGTCCTTTGTGTTCAGTATTAATTTCTGTTTGATGGCGGCAAGATCGTCACGTCGTTTTGGCGTAAAAGTGGGGCGTTTTAGCGAATTTCTACTTTATTATTAATAAATATTGCGGAAAGTATTATTATTATTATTATTATTATTAAGAATTACAATGTCCAACAGGCGAACCCAATTATAGGAC